CCTCTAGGCTTGAGTCCTTGGTCTGCTGCTGGCTAGCTGTGCTAAATCCAGGAAGTTGCTTAACTTCTCTGTGTCTCAATTTTTTCTTTTGCAAAATGGAGACGGAGAGTGTCCTACAGATAGTTATAGTCCTGCAGGCCTCACAGGACTGTTTTGAGGATTAATAGACATAACGATTGAAAAGTACCCAGTACTATGCCGCACACTTTATTCTTTTGGGTCTGTTATTTATTTTCCTTCATCCCCTGTTAAGAATGTTTTCAATGAATGAATTATTTTGAAAATTTTTTTATTAGAAAGGAATATATATGTGTGTGTATATATATATATATATAGAGAGAGAGAGAGAGAGAGAAATCTCTTTTTTCATTCATGGTGCTGTATACTTAAGAAACCATTTTTAAAAAAGATTTGTTTATTAATCTGAAAGAGTTAAAGAGAGAGAGGAGAGATGGGGAGACAGAAATCTTCTATCCTCTGAGTCACTCCCCAAATAGTCACAGCATCTGGGGCTGAGTCAGGCTGAAGCCAGGAGCTTCCTCCGGGTCTCCCATGCGGGTGCAGGGGCCCAAGGACTTGGGCCATCCTCCACTGTTTCCCAGGCCATAGCAGAGAGCTGGATCGGAAGAGGAGCAGCCGGGACTAGAACCGGACTTCAGGCCGGGACTTGAACCTGCTGGCCGCAGCGCCGGCCTGTATTCCATTTAAATGAACTTTGAGTCCCCGAGGTATAAGCCAGCTCGGTGGTGAGTGTTGCTCTATTAACTGCTTTCATTTATCTGAGAGGCAGAGAGAAGGGGAGAGCCCCACTGGGTCACTCACTAAATCCTGGCAAGTGCTGGGGCTGCACCTGGCCAAAGCCAGGAGCTGGGAGCTCCTCCCAGGTCTCCCATGTGAGCGGCAGGAGCCAAGTCCCTGGGCCGACACCACCGCCTCCGGGGTGTGCAGCTGGCACGGACGGACGCGCAAGCGCTCTGACGGGATGCGGCCTCCCACGGGCGAGCTGAATAGGTTCCACCTGGATCCCTCACGCGGGCTCCCGCACCCAGAGAGTCCTCCGCACACCGCCGTGGGCTCCTGACTTCAGCACTGAGCCCCAGCCGCCCTCAGCACCCGAGGGTCCTACAGTGCAACGCGTGGCGCCCCTGTGCGGCCCCGGGCGGGAAATGAGAGCTGCGGAGGCGGGTCCCAGGCCCCCGGACTGCTGGCCACAGGACCCGCACTGGCCTTGTGGAGGGAAACCACCGCGGGTTCAGCTGACTGCACACAGACTGATGGCTGCAGCCCTGCAGCCCTGGACACTCAGGGGCCCCTGCTTCTCCACCTGTGCCCTCTTCCTCCCTCTGCCCCTTACCTTACCTGGAATGCCGGTGCTGTGCGGTGTGGGCCAGGCCTGTCCACGGCAGCTCAGAGAGTCTGGCACTGTGGTAAATCCTGGTGGCGCAGGTGAGTGTGTGTGAGGTCAGGGGCTGCACACAGGGACAGAAGCAGAGTGTGCAGGGCATGTCCTACCTCACTCACCTAACCACCCCACCACATTTTGAGTTTTGGAGAGTTGTAATGAGAAGGGATTTTTGTGTTCAAGATTATTTATTTGAAAGAGTTAAGGACAGAGGGAGAGACAGAGAGAGAAGTCTTGCATCTGCTGGTTCATTCCCCAGACGGTCACAATGGCCAGCACTGGGCCAGGCCGAAGCCAGGAGGTTCGTCCAGGTCTCCCACGCAGGTGCAGGGGCCCAGGAACTTGGGCCATCTTCCACTGCTTTCCCAGGCCATAGCTGGGAAAAGCTAGATCAGAAGTGGAGCAGCTGAGACTCGAACCAGCACCCATATGGGATGCCGGCACTGCAGGTGGTGGCTTCACCTGCTATGCCTTGACACTGACCTGAAGAAGGGATCTTAACACCATGAGCTCAGCCCCCAGCCAGCCTTTCTGCAGGGGCTGCTGGGGGAGAGTTGGTGCCTGGCGACACCCCTGGCACTGCCAGCAGTGGTCAGTGGCCCACAGGGCGTGACAGGTTCAGACACCGGGTGGCTTGAGGCTGCAGTGCTGGTGGGGGACTGGGATGGCATTGTGAGCTCTGGGAAGGCCGTGCTCCCCACGATGCCCAGCAGGGATGCCAAGGCTGCACCCTGAGGACGTGGGCTGGGGTGAAGACATGGCGGGAGCTGCCCATGAACAGACACAGTTCCTGGGCTCAGATTACCAGTCCCCAGCGTGCTGCTGCCAGGGCGCCTGCCCCACAGTGCTGTGGCCATGAGAGGGCGCCGGGGAGTAGCCCAGGTGTTCCCATGCCTTCAGGGCCTCGTGTCACAGACGGGTGCCCGGGTGCAGACCCTGTGAAGCACCAGGGATGGCTCAGGTGATCCTGTGCCACAGCCCCCGGTGTGGCCCAGGCCCATCAGGGCCACCTGGGAGGCTACTAGGCCACTGACCTTCAAGCTGACTGGAGAAGCACAGTATGGGCTCTATCCTGGAGTGCTGCCCCGAATTAGCTACGCCCCCTCTGCGTGCCCCTGAAAAGGTGTGCTTGATTGTTGCTAAACGGACTTGTTCGCCGAAACTCGTCTCTGGTGCTTCTTGTGGGAGAACGCCGTCGCCCCACCGTTCCGACATGCGGGCCTCCCAGGGCGAGTCCACACGTTGGCCCCACCCCCACCCCCACCCCCCGTAGGGGAGACCTGGGTTGCACTCGGGTTCCTGGCTGCGGCTCTGACGAGCGCACTTGGCGAGTGGTTTCTCTCTGTTGGTGCAGGCCTTGGGAATGGAGACTCAGGTGATTTGGCCCCTGCTGGGCAGACCCGAAGGAGGGCAGCAAGGCCACCGTGAAGGGCCCTGCATGTGGCACTGGGAAGTGAGCAGGCCACAGCAGCGGGGGCCAGGGTGGCACAGGGTGGAGGCCAGGCCGACCCCTTTCTTAGTCGGCTTCAGGCTGAGCTGGGGGCCAGGTGCAGTCCTGGGCAGGTTCCCTCCACTCAGAGGGGCCCACACAACTGCCACCAAGGAGTCTGCACCTGTTCTGCCCCAGGGATGACCCATCACATGTGGCTGCAGAGCGCATGGAGTGTGGCTGGCGTGACTGCACCACTGAGTTTTTGATTGTACTTGATTTTGATTTTGACCTGAGTAACTCTTGTGGCTGTGGAGAGATGAGGCTCAGATACCACAGGGCTGTGCCAGAGACAGCTGTGCTGAGATCCTGCCATGCAAGCACTGACAGGCGGGCCCCCAGGACTGCGGAGCTGGGGCTCGGCCAGACTGGAGCCAGGAGCTTCATCCAGGCCTCACACGTGGGCGCAGGGACCCAAACACTTGGGCCGTCAGCAGGGAGCTAAAGCAGAAATGGAGCAGCCAGGACACGAACTGGTACCCGTACGGGATGCCGGCACTGTAGATGATGGCTTTACCCAGCACCCCATAGCTGGAGTGATCAGAAGACAACATCCTGGACAAGCAGTCCCTGCTTCAGTCCCTCCACGGCTTCCGGAAGCTCTTAGGGCAATCCGACCCTGCTCACATCGCCTTGGCACTGTGTACACCGTGCCTGACCCCGCCCTGGGGTTTTGTACTCTGTCTGGGAAGGGTCTCCCCCACATCACCTGCCGCCCGGGAGCCCGCCTCTCAGGGCAGTCACCCTGCCCTGATTGCCCTGGGGCATTTGCAGGTTCACCCCTCAAAGTGCCACCCACCAGGAGGCTGCTCCATCCAGGGTGAGCCGGGCTGGCGGTCGCCCGGTAGCTGCCTCAGCCTGCGTTCCCTGGCCCTGAGGCAGGGCCTCCCACGGGTCACTGTTGTCCAGGAACCCCCGAGCTGGCCCCACAGGCAGCCTTCCTCAGCCGTGCCGCGGCTGAACCCTGGTACGTGTGCATTCAGCAGCCGAGGTCCACAGTGCTCCCAGCCCTTGTGCAGACCCCTGCCCCAGGGCCCTCCAGAGCTCCACGCTGAGGGCCCTGGCCAGGTCCCGAGGCCATGCCTGACGCAGGTGGGATCCCTGCCCCTCCCCAGCCCACTTGGCCACTTTGCGCCCCTCCTGAGGCTGTCCTGTGGACCACAGAAGAGAAACATTGCCCTAGGGAGCAGGGCAGCTGGCTGCCGGGTGAGCCCCTCCCTCCAGGGCTCCAGCCCTGGCCTGAGGAGCCTTTTCCCCAGAGCTGCAGCCTTCTGCCCCCAGAGGGCGCTCTCTGCACAGCCTGGGGGCCCTCGAGGCGGCAAAGAAGCCCAGTGCAAGCTGCAGCTTAGCTTCCAAGAGCTCCGGGAGCTCCAGGGGCACAGGGAGTCAGGAGGGGCCAGGCCTGCCTGGGGCCTGGTGAGCCCTGGCAACCTCCGACCCCTGCCCTGAGCCCCCCATCCTGAGCGCTGCTGCTGGGTGGGCAGGGGCGGGAAGACGCGCAGAGCACCTAAGATGGACTTGAGCCTGGGGCCAGCGGTACCTGCCCTTTGTGTGGGGGCCTGAGGGCTGGGTTTATGGATTCACCATGAAGGCTCTGAGGGTGCAGTGGCCCAGGGGCCCTGAGGGAGGAGCAGGCAGTGAACTTTGGGGTGCAGAGGGGGGGGCAGGCCTAGCCAGGAGAGTTCATTTCAGGGTTCAGGCCACCCCACAAAGTGTTCTGCACCCCACTGGAGGCGCAGCCCCCACCTCTGGGCCTCCCCAGGTCTTTGACCAGGTCCTATCAGGAGGGAGGAGATGGGCAGTGGGTCTGGTACCAGGGTAAGCATAAGGCAAAGTGGCCACTCGGGGTGGGAGGCCGGGCTCCCTGGGTGCTGGCGCCCACACAGCCACACTCAGGCCCACCCTGGAGAAGCAGAAGCTCATGGCAGGTGACACTGCCCGGTGGTGGCCCTGCCGTGCTCAGCATGATGGACTGTTCTCTGTTGCCCTGGCCTACAGTCCACCCCCAGCTATGGCCCCACAGCCCTGGCAGGAGTGGCACGGGGCGCTGGCTGTGGCCTGTTTGTCCTGGGGAGAGCTGGCTGTGCCCATGGACATTCCAGCACCCGCCTCTGCCCCCCACCCCAGGAATGGGCAGGGAGGGGATGGGGGAACTGAACTGGAACCATGCACAGGAGAACTAGCCTTCTGCCAGACACAGCCAAAGCAGAGTCCAGACGAGGATCCCTGCACCGTCACCTCAGCCCCTGGCCTCTGTCGACCAAGCCCAGCAGATAGGAGCCCCGGCCCCGGGAAGGGCTCGCCGAGCCCTCCCACCCCTTCAGCTGGGTCTCAGAGCCAGTGTCTGAGTGCCCTCTTTTGTGGTTCCTCGTTGGCCTCTACTTCTAGTCTCACTTCAAGCCCACTGACCATCCCAGCCGAGCTCAGATGCACGGCAGGGCCGGTGAGCAAGGCCTGCTGCCCAAAATGGGACAGAGCAGGAGGTGACCAGGAACAAGAGCTATCGCTGGGTGTGGGCCTAGCTGGCAGCAGCCAACTCCCCACTGTCCACTTTGCCTTGAAAAAGACTCTAGGCACAGGTGTGGGCTCAGGTGTGCTCTCCTGTGTGATGCAGGCACAGGTGTGGGTTCAGGTGTGCTCTCCTGTGTGATGCAGGCACAGGTGTGGGCTCAGTGTGCTTTCCTGTGTGATGCAGGCACAGGTGTGGGCTCAGGTGTGCTCTCCTGTGTGATGCAGGCACAGGTGTGGGCTCAGTGTGCTCTCCTGTGTGATGCAGGCACAGGTGTGGGCTCAGTGTGCTCTCCTGTGTGATGCAGGCACAGGTGTGGGCTCAGTGTGCTCTCCTGTGTGATGCAGGCACAGGCACAGGCGCAGGTGTGGGCTCAGTGTGCTTTCCTGTGTGATGCAGGCACAGGTGTGGGCTCAGTGTGCTCTCCTGTGTGATGCAGGCACAGGTGTGGGCTCAGTGTGCTCTCCTGTGTGATGCAGGCACAGGTGTGGGCTCAGTGTGCTCTCCTGTGTGATGCAGGCACAGGTGTGGGCTCAGGTATGCTCTCCTGTGTGATGCAGGCACAGGTGTGGGCTCAGTGTGCTCTCCTGTGTGATGCAGGCACAGGTGTGGGCTCAGTGTGCTCTCCTGTGTGATGCAGGCACAGGCACAGGCGCAGGTGTGGGCTCAGTGTGCTTTCCTGTGTGATGCAGGCACAGGTGTGGGCTCAGTGTGCTCTCCTGTGTGATGCAGGCACAGGTGTGGGTTCAGGTGTGCTCTCCTGTGTGATGCAGGCACAGGTGTGGGCTCAGGTGTGCTCTCCTGTGTGATGCAGGCACAGGTGTGGGCTCAGGTATGCTCTCCTGTGTGATGCAGGCACAGGTGTGGGCTCAGGTGTGCTCTCCTGTGTGATGCAGGCACAGGTGTGGGCTCAGGTATGCTCTCCTGTGTGATGCAGGCACAGGTGTGGGCTCAGGTGTGCTTTCCTGTGTGATGCAGGCACAGGCACAGGTACAGGTGTGGGCTCAGGTGTAGTTCCCGTGTGATGCAGACCCTGGGTTTGGTGTGGGCTCAGGTGTAGTTCCCGTGTGATGCAGACCCTGGGTTTTGGTGTGGGTTCAGGTGTGCTCTCCCGTGTGATGCAGACCCTGGGTTTGGTGTGGGCTCAGGTGTAGTTCCCGTGTGATGCAGACCCTGGGTTTGGTGTGGGCTCAGGTGTAGTTCCCGTGTGATGCAGACCCTGGGTTTGGTGTGGGCTCAGGTGTAATTCCCGTGTGATGCAGATCCTGGGTTTTGGTGTAGGGTCAGGCAGGTGTAGTTCCCGTGTGATGCAGACACAGGTGTGGGCTCAGGTGTAGTTCCCATGTGATGCAGACACAGGTTTGGGCTCAAGTGTAGTTCCCGTGTGATGCAGACTCTGGTAGGCTGGGTTTCAGGTGGGCCCAGAAGCTCCCTCACCCACAGTGCTGCCGAATGAAGCAGATCCCTTCCTGGCTCCCACACACTGCACAGAAAAGATGGGCTGAGGCTGCCCGCAGAGCCAGGGCAGGACCGTCAGATGGCCGCAGGCTGGCTCTTCTCGCCGCTTTTTGACCTCAGGTGAGGCGCCGCACCTTGTGCCCATTTCACCCTCGATTTCACCCTCGTCCCAGCAGCTGCTTTGAGGACGCCAAGATGTGTGTGGAGCATCACAGGTAGCTGCAGCAGGCAGTGGCATCCACCAGACCGGGGGCCTGGCTGGCCGCGGCAGCAGCCTCCAAACCTGCTCCTCTGAACAGGCCGGGGGAAGAAGGCGTGTACTGGGCGCCTGCTGCCTGGGGCCGCCTGGGTTCTCGCCCCAGCTCCACCCAACCCTTGTCCACTGGCCAGCTGACCTTGGAAGGTGACTCTGGAGCCTCAGTGTCCCCACATGTAAACGGGCTGTGGCAGGGTTAAATGTGTGGACGCTCTGGGCACAGTGCCAGGGACGCAGCCTGCCCTGCAGCTCAGCAGAGGGGCCACAGGGAAGCACGCTGGTGCCTGGCCTCACTGCCCGTCATCTTCCACAATGCTGTGGCAGGGCCAGCAGGGACAGGAGCCGGGGCCCTCGCCTGCAAGACCTCCTGCCCAGGCAGCTGGCCCGCCCACTCCTGCTCCCACCGGGACCCACGCTCCTCTGCAGATTCCCAGAGCTCGGCCCTGGGTTTGGATCTGCACACAGGACGGTCAGTGCTTCTGCCCTCAACCTCTGAGCTCCCTCCAGGCCCCCCCTCCAGTCCCAGCACCTGGCAGGGAAGGGCCTCATTTCTGTGCCTCTGACCCCATTCACAGCCCAGCAGCCCGCACCCCACCCTCGGCTGTTCTTGTTCTTGTTCAGCCTCGGCTGGCTTCTTCCCAGCGGTGTCTGCACGAGTCGGATTCCCCGTCCTCGCCAGCAGGATCGCACCTGGACGTGTGAGGATGGAGCCCGCACCTGGACAGGCGCGCTGCACGGTACACATCAAGACGGAGATTCCAACCCCAACTAAGGAGAGCAAGCATCCCGGGGCAGGGGCGGCTGCGGGCGCGCTTTTCCTGAACGGAGCACGGTTCGGGCAAGCAGGAGTGGGGCGAGGTCGGCGCCGGGCCCCCTGGCAGCAACGCCAGCCGTGGCCCGCGGCCGGCACCTGCGGGGTGCGGAGCCCTCCCCCTGCCCAGCAGCTCGGAGCGCCGCCTTCCTCTCCAGCTCCCCGCTGCGCCAGGCGCGCGTCTGAGGACGGGAAGCGGCCCCCGGCCCGGATTTCCCGCGGGTGGGGCCGCCGTGACTCACCCCCGCCCCGTTTCCTTGTTTGCGTTTCTCCTCCAGGCCACGTGGCGGCCGGGATAGCACCCCGCACCCTGCCCGGCCGCCCCCTCTCATGCCCCCTCCCACCTGGGCGGGGCGCCTCCGCCCGCCCCCGGAGAGGGGCCCAAGCTCTGGGCTCCTGGGCCCGGATGGCTCCGCGGCGCCGGCAGGACCTGACCCAGCTGCGCCAAGCGCCCACCCGGAGGTCCCTGAAGGTGGAAGGGGGCCGGACGGGGAGGAGCCGAGGGGCGGGCGCAGCGGACGCCCGCAGCCGCGAGCCGGGGCCGCCGGGTCCCGAGCGTCCAGCAGTCCCGGGGCTGGAGATCCGCGGCATTCCGGCGACGGGGACCGGAGGAGCCCGCCTGCACCCCGCGCGCGCAGGGGCGGTGCCTCCTGCTGACCCGCCCAGCGCTTGGAGGAGGTGGTTCTGCTGGGCGGTGAGGCCGCGGTCCCGCCGCTGCTGTCCATGGCTGTCCACCTTCCTTCTCAAGTCACAGGTGGGCTGCTCAGGTGAGAGCCGCCTGCAAGTGGGCCGAGCCCGCGGCGCAGGTGGGCGGCCTCGCTGACCTGGCGCCGGGGGCGTAGCTGCTCGACGCGGTGCGGAGGATGCGCCGGCCCCGGAGCTGCTCCTACCAGCTGCTGCTGGCGCACGGGCGCCCCGGACGCGTGCAAGGGCTTCGCTGGGTGAGCACGGCGGGACCGGGGCTGGAGGGCCGGGGCTAGAGCGGCCGGGCGGTCCCTGGCCTGCTGGGGGAGTGCCTGCTGAGTGCACGTGCGCCCGGGTGTTCCTCGGGGCCCCATCTGCCACTGCGCGGGGCTCAGGTGCACGGAGGTGTGGGCCGGCCGGGGCCAGGTGGGGTAGGTGAGCTAAACTGCAGCCGATCTCCCCCACGAGCCCCGCACCACCGGGCTCTATCTTTGAGGTGAAGTGGTCCACTGGGGTCCTGGCTTTGGGGGCTGGGGCGGAATCTGAGACGTGTGGAGCCTCTGAGGCTGTGGAAAAGTTCCCTGGAGCTGCAGGAAGGAAGGAGCCAGCGGCCGGGGAAGGAGGGGCCCTGAAGCTGCCTTGCAGTGGGGATGGGGGTGGGAGCAGAGGAATCGGAGGGCACTGCCTCCCGCAGCCCCCTGAGTGGAGGACCCCCCCCCCCGCCCTCCGTGTGCCATACCATGAGGCTCAGGCGGAGGGGTCCCCAGCCCGGCTCCGGGCCTGGCAGGAGCTTCTAGGCCTGGAGCCACTGGGCTGGAACCCTGCTGCCCTCTGTCCCGCCCAGGCTATAATTACTTGTGCATTTCCTGTCCCCTTTCCAGCCATGGACTCAAGGTAGGGTGGGGGCAGGTCAGGTGCGGGGGACTGTGAGGTCAGCGGCTAGCCTCCTGGGACCCAGAGCCTGGGAGGGGCTGGAGGAGGCTGCCAGGCTGCCTCCTGACTGCTAGCCCTGGAGTTGGAGCCCCCCCTCCACCGGCCCGTGCGTGGGGTGGCCGGAAGGGTGGGGTGCAGGCTGCTGGGCTGTGAATGGGGTCAGAGGCACAGAAATGAGGCCCTTCCCTGCCAGGTGCTGGGACTGGAGGGAGCTCAGAGGTTGAGGGCAGAAGCACTGACCGCCCTGTGTCCAGAGACGCCCCTGAGCGGCGGGCTGGGCTGGGTCAGTCCCCAGTGTCCGCACCTCTCACAGCCGGCTGATGCCTTCAGTTCTGTGGGGCCGGGGTGAGGTGCAGCTCAGGAGGGCAGTGCCCAGGCAGGGGCGGGAGGCCTGCAGGTGGCTTTCTGCTCCTGCCGAGACCAGGGCGAGAGGGGTTGAGGCAGGCCTGGCAGAGGCCGGAGAGAAGCTGCAGAAGGGACCCTGGATGGCAAAGGTGACGGGGAAGGGTGCAGAACAGCGTGGAAGGTCCTGCCAGCCATGTGGGGGCAGGCAAGGTCAGGGTGCCCTCTGTGGAGCCGCCAGCTGAGGGGAGCCCAGTACGCTGCCCTTGAGTGACTTCTGGGGGAGTGGCCCTGTTCTCCAACTCAAACCCCAGCTTCATCCAGCCGTCCTCAGAGTTACGGGGGCGGGATTGCATCCCGGGCACCCTCGCAAGTCCTCCCAACAGCCCCATCAGATTGTCCCCGTGTAGTGGGTGGGAAGGTGGAGGCACAGACCTGACAGGGCCGTGGCTGCAGAGCTGCACCTCGGTCCTGGCTGCCTGGCTGCAAGATCCACCACGCCGAGCTGCTCCTGCCACACAGCAAGACTGGCCCGAGGCGCCCCTGCCCCTCGCTGCCTTCCCCATCAGCCTGGGGTCTGACCAGCGGGAGGGAGCTGGTCTGCGGGGTCCCCACACCAAGCAGCTGTGCTAGTGACAAGGAGAGCAGGGGTGGGGGTGGCCAGCGGCCCTGCCGGTGCGCAGGAGTGCCCAAATCCTCCGTGTCTGGGAATGAGAGGGGCAGGTGGGTGAGGACCTTCCCCTCAGCCATGCCAGCTGCTTCTCTGTGACTGCGGACCCTGAGTCGGCACGCAGGGCCAGTGTGTCGGGGCAGCCGTGGTGCAGCATCCCGTGCTGTGTGGAGTTAGCAGTGCCCCTTGTGAGATAAGGAAGGGTGATGGCGTCCCTGAGCACCTGTGCACGGTTGCTATGTGCAGGCGCGGCTCCGTGCACTTGAGATCCTTGCCTCATCTGATGCTTAGGATGGCCCCGTGGCATGGGCACCAGGCACGCTTCCCACACCCTGCAGCTCCAAGAGCTTAAATGAGCAGCCCACAGCCACCTGGTCAGGTGGGCAGGGAGCTGTGTGGGAGAGGGGATTCAACCCTAGCGTCTGGCCCCGGAGCCACACATGGGACCACTGCTCCCACAAGCGGCCCCCCTCCACATCCTAGAATGTTCCCAAGTGCCTGGACGTCCTGGGGGCCCACAGGGTCTGATGCCAGGCAGTCTTGCATGGTGTAGCTCATGGCTTTCCACACTTGCTTCCCACGGGACGCACCTGCTCCGTGGAGGGAGGAGGTGGGCACCACGGGCAGGGGAAGGCTGTGACGCCTGGCTCTCCTGAGGCTGGAGGAGGGGCACAGCCCCAGGTTCCTTTCCACAGCTGTGGAACTGGGGACAGACACCTGCCCCCAGGCAGTGTCAGAGACCTTGTTGGGCAGGAGGACCTGATTTCTGGGGAGTCCGAGTGACTGCCTGTGGCTTCAGCTCCATGCGGCGGAGTGGGAGGGGTGCCTTAAGGCCCCGTCGTCTCCCCCCAAGCGCATGACCTGGCTCCTCTGCTCCAGTGCCCTCCTGGCTCAGAACAGTGCCAACAAGGCGGCTGCTGCCGGCACCTGGGCTGTGGGCACCTGGTCATTTCGTCCCGGACAACAAGGAGTCATTAGCTCTTGGGCACAGGCCGGGCAGCATTCCTGCCCTTCCTCCCTCCCCCGACTCCTCCTCCTCCTCGTTTCCTGTCCTTGAGTCTCTAGGGCTTTGTGTCTGGCACTGGCCTGGGCCCCGTGACCCCGGCAGGGATACCCTGGGGACACCTAGTGACTTCCGCCCAGCCTCTGGCCAGGCGCCTGCGCACGCCAGGCCTTGGGCCCCTGCCTGGGCCGTCAGTAGCCCTGTGCTTGGAGTCAGAGCCTTGCTGTGCCCCCAGCTCCCAGCCGCGTCCTTCTCAGGTAGTGAGAGGAATGGGAGGAAGAGGAAGGCGCAGGTGCGCTGGGCACCTGCAGGCAGACTCCATTGTGGTCCCGGTGGGTGGTGCAGTTACTCGGGCCCCTCACCCCCACCTCCGTTTCCCCGTGAGCCTGCTTCACATCTGCTGGTCAAGTGCTCTGAGCGTGGCAGCCGAGGAAAGAAGGGCCTTGGGGGGCCCTGTCCCCCAGAGGGGGGCGCTGCCTGCTCGCGGCACAGCCTCCGGCAACAGCAACACACTCTGGCCCTCCCCAAAGCCCGCTGTCAGTGTCACGGGGTTCTTGCAGGTTTTGTAGATGAGGATGCAAGCTGCCTGTCGGGGTGGGGATCAGGCCCGGGACCCCAGCGCAGGAGCTGGTTTCCAGTTCTCTGCTGCTGCCCACAGCAGCTCCGTTGCTTCCTCCTGCAAGAGCCCTGGCTGCAGGAGTCTTTCTGTGGGTGCTGGGGAGGCACCCTGTGAGTGCCACGTGGACGCCTTGGGCTGGGGGCTGGGCACGGCTGAGGCGGACGGGACGAGAGGCAGGTCCAGCAGTGGGGTGAGGCCGCACACCGATGCCCACTCTCTGCCCTCAGACGCCGCTCACCACCAGCCAGGAGTCCCTGGATTTCAGCGGGAGCCTGGAGCAGGTAGGAGCACGGGTGGGGGGTGGGGGCCGCAGGAGGGGCGCAGGCCTGAGCCAGCTGTGCCCCCCTCCAAGGCCTCCACGGAGCGAGTCCTCAGGGCTGGGAAGCAGCTGCACCGGCACCTCCTGGCCGCCTGTCCGGGCCTCATCCGTGACAGGAAGCACCACCTGAGGCTCTACCGGTGAGCGGGCTTCCTGCTGCCCCTGCCCAGGCTGGAGAGGCCTGGGGGCCGGCCAGCGGCCGGAGGCAGACCCGGCTGTGGGCCTTGCTTGGCTGCGGCCCCTCTGACGGGCCTCGTTCCTCAGGCAGTGCTGCTCCGGCCGGGAGCTGGTGGACGGGATCCTGGCTCTGGGGCTGGCGGTGCACTCACGGAGCCAGGCTGTGGGCGTGTGCCAGGTGCTGCTCGATGAAGGCGCCTTGTGCCACGGTGAGCGCTGGCGGGGGCGGGGCTGGCAGTGCAGGGGGGCCCGAGGCCCACACAGCCTCAACACCCTCTCCTCCTCTCGCCTGGGCCTCTGTCCCTAGTGAGACACGACTGGGCCTTCCAGGACCGCGATGCTCAGTTCTACCGCTTCCCTGGGCCGGAGCCGGAGCCCGCCGGCAGGCCCGAGGTGGAGGAGGATCTGCTGGAGGCTGTGGCTCTGCTGGCCCAGCGGGGGCCCGACGCCCTGCTCACCGTGGCCCTTCGGAAGCCGTGAGTGGGGATCCCTCACCGCGGCCCCTGGGGAGAGCCCCCTTGCTGCCGAGGGGAAGGAGCTGGGGTCTCGGAGGGGCCTGCCCACTGTGTGGTCGTGAGGGGGTGGGCTTTGGAGCCCGGGCAGGTCAGATTCCGGCAGGGCCAGCTTCCTCCCCTGTGGAGTGGGCGGGGCTCAGAAGGCTGGCGGGAGAGCAGCGAGGCGATGCGTGAAGGCCCCTGGCGCCGGGAAAGGTCAGCGGAGGCGCTGGCTGGCTCGCGTCACCCTCGCTTCCCGTGCTGTGCCACAGCCCGGCTCAGCGCACGCACGAGGAGCTGGAGCTCATCTTCGAGGAGCTGCTGCACATCAAGGCTGTGGCTCACCTGTCCAACTCGGTCAGTGCAGCCCTGCCCCCGTCCGTCTCTGTCCCCGGCAGCCTCGCCTGGGCTGGCCGCACTGACCGCCCCGCCCCCGCCCACAGGTGAAGCGCGAGCTGGCGGCCGTGCTGCTGTTTGAGCCGCACAGCAAGGCGGGCACTGTGTGTAAGTGGGGCTGGGCCCTGGGGCCTGGGGGGTGGCGGGTGGCCCGTGCTGACCCGTGCCTCTTGCAGTGTTCAGCCAGGGGGACAAGGGCACCTCGTGGTACATCATCTGGAAGGGGTCTGTCAACGTGGTCACCCATGGCAAGGTGAGCTCCGGCTTCGTCCTCCCCAGCAGGGCCTCTGCGGGCCCCGAGGCTGCTGCCCCCCACCCTTCCCATGTGTCCTGGCTGCAGGGGCTGGTGACCACCCTGCACGAGGGAGACGACTTTGGACAGCTGGCCCTGGTAAACGACGCCCCCCGCGCGGCCACCATCGTCCTGCGGGAGGACAGCTGTCACTTCCTGCGCGTGGACAAGCAGGACTTCAATCGCATCATCAAGGTGCCTCCTGCCCTGGGTGCCTGCCCATGGAGTGGCGGAGCAGGGGAGAAGCCCAGCCGGGCCTGGGGCCTGGTGCTGGGCGAGGCATAGGCCGGGCCGGGCAGCTGGGGCCGGGAGGACAGGGCGGAGTGGCTCTGTTCTCCAGGACGTGGAAGCGAAGACCATGCGGCTGGAAGAGCACGGCAAGGTGGTGCTGGTGCTGGAGAGAGCCTCCCAGGGCGCCGGCCCTGCTTGCCCCCCGACCCCAGGCCGGACCCGGTACACAGGCTGCCCCCCCCTCCCCGGTGAGGGAGGTGCCCCTGAGTCAGCCTCGCCCCACCCCCGGGGCCAGGCTGGAACACTTGGGCAGGGCAGGTGGCAGCATGGTTGATGTCTGCCGCCCTGGGGTGGGGGAGTGGAGGCGGGACATGGTCAGTGCAGGGCCCACCTTCCCCAGGTACACGGTGATGTCCGGCACCCCAGAGAAGATCCTTGAGCTCCTACTGGAGGCCATGCGGCCCGATTCCAGCACCCACGACCCTACAGGTAGGAGCACTGGGTGATCAGTGCAGCCTGGGTCCAGGCCACTGCACGGGAACCTGGGACCTCGGCTGGTCCAGAGAGCCAGGCCCTGCAGGTACCTTCAGCTCCAGACGGGGGCTGGGGGAGGGCGTCCCGCTCGCAGCGCTGGACGCTGAAGCCTCCTGCCACCACCCCTCCCCCCCAGAGACCTTCCTCAGCGACTTCCTGCTGACCCACAGCGTCTTCATGCCCAGCGCCCAGCTCTGCCCTGCGCTGCTGCACCAATATCCTTGCAGCCTGCTGAGGGGTGCAGGCCGTGGAGAAGGCACCCGGCAACCAGGGTGTGTGCATGTGTACTGGGTGGGGGCTCTGGGGGGCTCCTCCTTCCCCTGCTAGGCCAGGGGCTCTGGGGGGGCTGCCTCCTTCCCTGGCTGGGTAGGGGCTCTGGGGGGGCTGCCTCCTTCCCCTCCTGGGCCAGAGGCTTTGCGGGGGCTGCCTCCTCCCAGCTGGACCGGGGGCTCTGGGGGGCTGCCTCCTCCCCAGCTGGACCCAGGGATCTGGGGGGCTGCCTCCTTCCCCCTCTGGGCCAGGGGCTTTGGGGGTGCTGCCTCCTCCCCAGCTGGACTGGGGGATCTGGGGGCGCTGCCTCCTTCCCCCACTGGGTGGGGGCTCTGGGGGGCTGCCTCCTTCCCCTGCTAGGCCAGGGACTCTGGGGGGGCTGCCTCCTTCCCCCGCTGGACTGGGGGCTCTGGGGGGCTGCCTCCTTCTCTGGCTGGGTGGGGACTTTGCGGGGGCTGCCTCCTCCCCAGCTGGATCCAGGGATCTAGGGGCGCTGCCTCCTTCCCTGGCTGGGTGGGGGCTCTGGGGGCTGCCTCCTTCCCTGGCTGGGTGGGGGCTCTGGGGGTTGCCTCCTTCCCCCTCTGGGCCAGGGGCTTTGGGGGTGCTGCCTCCTCCCCAGCTGGACTGGGGGATCTGGGGGCGCTGCCTCCTTCCCCCACTGAGGTGGGGGCTTTGGGGGGTTGCCTCCTTCCCCTGCTAGGC